TCGTGTGCTGTTGATAATAATGATGTTGATGGCAATCTTGATTATTCCTGAATATTTCAAATTTACTCACTTTAGCTCTGGGGGTTGTTGAGTGGCTTTATTTCATTTTTAATTCTTATTTTCCTTTTTCGATGTTGTTTCCCTTTTTTTCTTTTTTCCCTTTTCTTTTTTCCATTCTTTTCCGTGTTGAGCGCCTATTTCTCATCATCCATTTTCGTCACTGCTCCCTTCTTTCTTTTTGGATTTCATTTTATTCCTACTTCCTTTATTTTTTTTATGTCAAAGTGCCGTCCTCAATGGTCTATACCAAACTGCTGCTTGCATGCGTCTACCTTCTGCTCCCTGGTCGCATTACCGAATCTTTAGCATATCCTCTCGCAAATGATGGCCGCACAGCTCGTCGCTGGTTCATTTATACATGCTGTATGGTCGTGATGCGTTGGGATCCAAGCGTTCTATATCTTGTTGTTCTTCTGCTGTCATCCTCGACGATTATTTTCGGCAATAACCCAGCAGATGCAACAACTTACTGACCTGGGTCTGTTCCTCTAGCTTTCCGACGTCTCCTACCTCCATTCTCATGAGCCCTACTGACACATGCTCTGGTTCGTTTCCCTTTATCTCTCGGTTCCCTATCATCGGCTAACATGCGCCTTCCATCGATATGGTGCGGTGCTTCACAGAAACATTCTCTCCTTCATCGAACTCACTGTATACACATTCTTCAGGAATGTCATACGATAGAATGTCGGATTACAGATCCCATCGGGTGCCCCCACTGTAAGTGTGTCTCAATCTTTGGTTCTTTGTTGACATGCACCGATTGATAAGAAAACTTTGGGACCTGTACAGTCAGCCGCCCGCCAACATGTCACCCAGTCTGCAATCGCAGGGGACAACCGTCTCTGGAAGTACCTCCATTATGGGGCGAAATGATGGGTATCCGGGAGCATACACACTCCATCGAGGACCGTTCCAAGGACCTTTGACAGGTCTTGGGGAAATCAATAGGATCACACCCTTTGGAACAACCCCTCGAGGTGTCATCGAGGGCACTATGGATCGACCTCCGAGTGTGTATATTGGGTCGGGGACTATGCTGATGGACGCCGTCCAGCAACGTTTGCCCCAGCCAGTTGCCGATGCTCCTCCGTTCGGCGAAACTATGGTGATCCAACCGGTCGTCTCCGGAGCTCAAACCATCACTCCTGAGATACAAGCCAAGATACATAAGGGTTTCTTCCAGGTCGATGACAAGTGGACGTGCTATAGACGCAATTATTTCTCAGTTTCGTGTTCGTTTACGTTGCAGCCGTGGTCAAACGCTCCACTATACGTGAAATTGTCGGAGCATGGGCCAGAACGCATTACAAGATTTGCCATGTCAATTTCCGCCGTAGTGAACCAACAAGTCGGGGAAGTTCGGGAATTGGTTCAACACACCCCCAAACGGGACAAGCAGTCGGAAAGAAAACCGGGAAAGGTCATATTGCAACCCTCTCAACCTACGCCCTTGGTTCTGGGCCATGGAGCATCACCAAACAGCAGCCAGCATGGGTTTTCGCTGGCCTCACAGTCGGCTGGGTTATCGCTGGATTTCGGTGGTTACCCAGGAGCGAGCCAGCCTTCACAGCCGCCAACCCAGCACACGTTTGAGCGAATTCAGTTCCAGAAGGCAACGGCGAACAACGGAAAACGGCGAGCCCAGCAGCAGTACTATAACCTAGTCGTTGAGCTCTATGCTGAGGTCGCCAGTTCGGTTCCAGGTACTGATACCCAATGGGTCAGAATTGCCAGGCGACTTTCGCATCCAATGGTAGTCCGGGGTCGCTCCCCGGGCCATTACAAAGACGGCCGCCGCGATAGTTCGACCAGCATGGGCCCCGATGGAGGGAGCGGTGGCTCCGGCGATGGGAGTGGAGGGGCTGTCCTACCCCCAGGATTAGGAGCAGGTGCACGGTCTCACTTGGCCCTCATGCCGTACGACTCTTCTCAGCGCGGTGGGCCACATTACGGTCGAACAGATTACCATCAAATGACCGCGCCAGACCAGTCACCGCTAAGCGAGAGTCCACACATATCGTCATCCTCGTCATCGGCGTTTGATATTGGACTCATGAATGATAACACCATGGATCCGATGGACTCGATGAAAAGCTCGTCCAGCATGGATACCTATCAGGACTCTAACTATAGCGTTATGAACAACCGAAAGCCGGCAAGCCATTACCGCCATCCACATCCCTCATTCGAGTACGAATCCGTATCCAAAACCAGCGAACAGACCGGCCATGCATTTCCCCAGCCATTCGAGTCGATGGTCTCTGTGGTGACGAATAATGATCAGCATGAACCTCCGCATTACCTGAAACAACCCCCTCGGCTAGCTTCTCACCTGTACCAGAACTCTAGTAGTAGTGGCTTTGACCCCGTCTATTCAACTCGCACCGCTGATGGGAGCTCTTATGGTCGATTTACCAACTCCCAAAGTCTGTGCGCTTAGCAAGTCTCTGGAACTTTTCTTTCCATCTCAACCCTTGCGAACCTTTCATGCACATCTCTTGTGTTGTGTGTGTGTGTGTGTGTGTCCGTCGTTGCCTTTTCCTTTTTCACTTATGTTTACATTCTCTAGTTTCTGTTATCTTTTTGTCATCTCTTCTATTTCCCTACTTATTTTTTTCTTATATCTTTTCTTACTTCCTTGCCTCCTATCATCTCTCTTTGTGTTCCAGACTCTTTTGGAAAGCTTTCCTTCCACTTTCTCATATTACCTGTTCATGAAGCAGAAAAGACTTGCCCCAGATGAAGTTCTTCTGTCCCGAGCGCCTCACCCTACGTTTGCCGAAATGCGTTGGTTGCATTCGACGGACATCCGATGACTTATGCGTGCTTATAGACTGTGAAGCTGAGCTGACCTGCCCTCTCTTCCATGTTGAAAGAAAGTTGAAATTGCATTACCACGGTGACAACCCCTTTTGGGATCCTTGTGCGCCGGGGCTTGTTTCATTCCCTTTGCTTTTCCTTCGCCCCACTTATTTTTTTCTTTCTTGTCTCTCTCCAGCCTGTCAATTTCCTTCTCTCTCCTCCTCCTCCCCCCCCCCCCCCCAATCGCAACCCCCTATTGATGCTGCCTCCGGAAGGACCAAAGGGATGATGCATTACTTCCATTCCCCGTTTACAACAGACGGGGCCCAAAACATCTGAGTTTCTACATGTAGACGAGACTTGAATTTTCCTTTTCCAGAAAGGCCAAAAAGAAAACATGAAAACTATTAGCTATGACTTTGGACTTATTCATTATCTGATGCTAAAACAAACTACCAAAGAAACTTCGTTTTAGAATTACGAACCAACAGGAAGGCTAAAACCGAGCGTCTCTCTCGAAGTGGAGAATTTCATACCATTCGAGAAACAAGCGAACCAAGATAGTAATAATTCGCATGCAAGACCCAGCCTCCTAGGGAGAAGGATTATAGTTCGCCGGGAGGGGGTAATAATTGGTTACTGCCGGGGTAGACTTTTCTCCGACATGCTGCCCTACTTGGCCCAGCCAGGTATGCCGCTGTCAAGTCAATCCAATCTCAACTAACTAACCCTGTTCGCTGCATGCGGAGAGGGGGGTGTCTTGAAACCAGAACCAGAACCCCATGCACGGAAAAAGCAAAATGGAAGGGCACGAAGAAACCCAACGAAGCGGATCTCTCATATTATTCCTAAATAGGATTTGAACGTACAGATTACATGAATTGCCAATGAATCAATAAAAGAGGGGGGAAGAGAGTGTGAGAGTGAGAGTGAGAGGGAGGGGAGCCGGGTAAGGGACAACGGATTGAGATCCGAGACTTCTAATTATGCAGTATGCCGTAATTGATAGATGATCGATAGTACCAAGATTAGTAGATGATCATCATCATGCTTCTAGCTCACAGCCGTGGCAAATTCCGCGGTAAACTTAAGGATATGTGTTTACCTATTTGGATGGAGGTCAGGGAGAGGATCAGGGAGGGGAGAGGGTGGGAGGGGGGGAAGCTGCGTGAGGAGCGGAATTGGTGGTGTTGGTGGTGGTGGTTAGGGGAGGTGTGTGAGAGGGAGAGTGAGAGACAGGAAGAACAAGCCATTAACGACCCCGAGCCGCCCGGATCTCAGGCCAGACGACGAGGGAAGATCGACGAAGGGACCGAAGCCCCATCCTTTCATTTGTTGTTGCCGAGTTTGGCGGTCGGTCACCGACAGCCATTGAGGAGAGGGAGGGGGGTAATTCCCAGTAAGTAATCTGGTGGCAGACATGCCTAATATGTACATACACTACTAGTTTGTGGTAGTAAGTAAGTTACTAGTATTTAGTGGGTGGATGATTGCTGTGACGGAAGATCGATGGATGGGAATCGATCGTTTAGTTTACGGTTAGTTTTAGTTTAGTTTTTTTTGGTTCTTAGTTTTTTCTTTTAGTTTTTAGTTTACGGGGAAAGAATTCCTGGGGGTGGAGTTACTCTCGGTAAACTACTGATACTACCAACTTACCGTACAGACGCGCTTGCCCGAAACCAAATCAACCAACACACACTTCCTTCTACTTCCACTTGCTGGTTGCTCCATACATACTTACTACTCCAAAAACTCACATTACTCCCCCTCCTGTACTTCCTCCCGCCCACTTACGCTGCCAGACTCAGCAGGAATGAATGAAGAACCAAAGAATACTAGACTGCAATAACAGACACCTATGCTAGTAAGCAATGGAGAGAGAAAAGGGAAAGAAGATAGGGGCAATCATTCCTTCTCCTATTTTTTTTTCCGCGGCTTTTCCTTTGTTGTCGATGTGCCGGAAGGGAAACGGGATCCTTTTTCCGCCTCACCGGCACCATCCTAGCTGCTTCTCTGTCTGTCTGTCTGTCCTTCTCACTACTCCTCACTAGACAGCAGACTAACTACTTAGCTCCTGCTCTTGACTACTGCCTAGTCACAAACTAACTATCTACCTATCGATCTATTAGGTGAGCTCACTCCTGACTTGCTAGCTTGGTAGCCAGTTCATCCACTACTATCTATACATACAGCACGCCAAGGTGCCCCGGGTAGACTAAGTAATTGTCCCCTGAGCATGGCTCTTCCTGCGAACCTCATCAGCCGGTGTCCACCTCAACATCACATCTCATCTCATCTCATCCCATGTCTCTCGGTTGCTTCTCGCCTTTTCTCACAGGCCCATAATGTCGCCCCCCACGTCAGAAGTCCCTGGTCCTTCCATGGCTGCAGGTGACGGCACTCGAGCGACGTCAAAAGGAAGATGCAACTAACGCGACGATCATCCCACCAATGCGTTCCATGATCGACCGGGCATACATTAGGCCGCTGATTAAATCTCGTTAAGGAGCGTGCATGCTCTCTCCCCTTTTAGCGCCTCCCATTGATGCTCCCCATCGCGACGGCAAGTGTAACTATCCTACTGGGTGCTATCCAGGATATCCAGCCTCCAAGCCTTCGGGTACAACTCCATCGCCATGCGGGATGACCACTTGCTCCAAGCGCTGACGGGCGCGTCTGTCTGGTTGAGCCACTCCTTCCAAACCCTTGGGCCTCTCGGCACGTTCCGGAGTCATCCTGACCCAACAATTGTTTTCCCATTGGTCTGAATATCAGCCTGCAAGGACTACACCATCGCCGTTCTTTCGGACCCGATAAATTCTAATCTGCCGGTCCTTATCTCCCTCACTCTCTCTAGTGATGCATCTGCATCCATCTCATCGGGAAAAAGAAACGCGAGAATCATTTAATTCATACTACACAACATGTCTCCTTCCGTCGAGCATCCAGGCGCCATAAGCAGCAGCCCCCACCCCCCAACAGATTTCGGCAGCGTGGAATCATTGTCCGTCCCAATAGACTATGCAGAATCAAAGCAATGATAAACAATCTCATACCAACCGGACACGCTTCACCTTTCCAGTGGTTTCCAACCTCTGTAATGCCCGCAGGCGGGGTCCCCGGTGGCTACCAAATACTCCAAGCATTGCTGAGGCAATATTGGCTTCCCTAGAATGGCCCACCATGCACGTCGTACAAGGGAGGGGGTGTGAATGACCCGGGCAAAACTGATGGGGCCCAAGCCTTGCAAGCCACAGAAGGCCTGGTAATTTTGACCGACAGAAGTACGGTCTGGTAGAGGGCGGCCAACGAGAACGCCGCAATGTCCCTTTGGACAACTCTCCGGATCGTTGTGCAACCGTTGCATCCAATCTGCGTCAGTTTTACCGCACCAACGTCAGCGCCCAACGCAATGTATGAAACTTGTCGACTTGCCCTTTTTAACGGCCAGGGCTCCAGTCGCTGCCACTTCCATGCGCGCCCCCTACTCTTCCCACGGGCGAGTCGATGGGATGCAACCCGCCCCACCCATCTTCCTGGAGCAGTTGATGTCGCAGATTGGAGCCTTCGGAGTCTTGCATGCAATAGCCGAGCAGTATCTGAGTCAAATAGGGACCCCATGTTCGTATGTACGTCAAATGATCCTGGGTCGCTGATCTCACTCCGTTGGATTCTGCTCACAACCTGAGACCATGGTCCCAGTGTCGATTCTAATCCCTGGAAAGAGAAAAACTACCAGCTATGCGAGCCCCCTGTCGAGTGCTGACAAGGCTGTTTTTCGTGTCAACATTGGTCTCTCATGGCCAACCCCCTTTACGAGCTGGTGAAGATTCTGTCCCAGACAAACCTTCTTTCTTTCCGTAGATCATACCCTGTCACATCACCCTGCGCTGAGCTGCGTGGAGATTGTCTCATTTCCTTCTTTCGCCCTTTACTCGCTCAGTCGCTTGCTTCGACCCCTACAAGCATCGGCTAACTGCCAGCGCAACTCTCTGGGTTCTTCATGGGCTCGTCAGCTAGTCGTCTCAAAACTTCTCCCGACATTGCATGCATGAAAATTCTGTTCCACGAAACGGCCTTCGGATGTTGTGTCCCGCCAACAAACTTCTGACAAGGCTAGACACACGACAAGAATTGAGCATCTGCTCACCCTCCCTCATTTCCTGCTTCCTGCTGCAACTCGCCTAACTCTCCTTCTGACTCAAATGCGCCCTATCTGCTTCTGCCTATTTTTATTCTGGCCTATTCCCGTCCCCAGCTTCAACTCGCAAGAACATGTGAAAGACGCCCATTGGTGTTTCAAAGTAACCGGTCAAGGCGGCCTGCATCTGCGATAACCAAATGTTGGGTTGCTGACGTCTCAACCCAGACCCCCAACCCCATTACCGTAGCCGAGAGTACCCGCCTCCATCTGCATCACCTACTTTACATCTTTCTCGACTCTCGATATCCGAACAGCCAGTTTCCGATCCAAGTCCTCCTGTTCCTCCTTGGTAGGCGCCATACCCATAGCATTTTCCACTTGCGGCGAAGCCCAGAGCCCAATCGACGCCCAGGCCATCACGCCGATTCCGAATAGAGCTCTCGTTTTGGGCGAGAGGGACCGATATGAGCTGTGTGGTGCGTATCTCCCAGTCAGCGTAAAGCTATTTCCTCATGAGATTTGTAATAGACCACCCACCTCCAGAAAGACATCCTTGTAAGTAAAAAAAGGTAAGTATACGAGAAACGGATGTTAAGAATGTAATCAGGCACCAGTAAGTAAGGTAGTTCCACTCAATTGTTCTTTTGCAGTCCGGAAAGGTTGCGAATCGAGCTCTCGTCGGCAGTAACTTGGAATACCAACTAGTCTCGATACGGTTTAGTCAAATGGCGTTCAATTCCGCCTTCCTATTACGTCCCAGTCAATATAGCGCCAGGAACCATCGAATTAACGAAATGACCTGTATCATCTTCCCCCTCTTTCAGACACATCAGAAAAAGGAAGAGAAGAGAAGAAGGATTGATCTGACATATTACCCATCACAAGAAGCATGCAATGCATGTATATTACTCAAGATAGAAAACAAGAATTCGGCAAAGAGACGTATATCATACTTGATGCTTTTAAGTAGATCCTCTAGCAGTTTCCTCACTAGATTAATACTACCTACCTACCTACCTACTAGTCATGAAGCTACTGAAATAGTAAATATTGAATTTTATCATATATACTGATAACCCAGTAATATCGATTCAGTAGTAGATTAATTGACTCAAGCGTTGCAGCAGCAGGTTATCTACTAATACTACGTAGTTCTACTAGTACTAAATACTACTCGCTCTTGTGATATCTATCTATCTATCTATGTAGCTATCTACCTATACTATCTATCTATCTTACGTATGAAACTGTAAATTAGCTATCAGTACTCACTAATATCTATCATAGGGACTCTCTATACCTGCAGGTAAATACTATATAGCAGATAGATAGATAGATAGATAGATAGATAGATAGGGACTTTATACTACCTTACCTTATTCAAGTGTGGGTTGTGGAATAGGTATTCCATTTAGAAGAAGAGATAGTTAGATGACACTATGTATGTATGTATGGTACGAGTCATTTCACACTTAGCTTGAGTATACAGTAGTTTCACTTTCGATGGTAAACTAGTAGTAATGGCTTTAGCGAGACTATTACAGGAATTAGGTTAGTGTCGTGAGATAAGGAAAGGGGTAGAGAGAGAGAGAGAGAGAGAGAGATAAGAGATAGTTTGAATGAATAGGGGATGAAGCTAGGACATATCCATCTATTTATCTACTTATTGAGTACTGTGATTTTATCTCAATTTGGGGCCATTTCTGGCTGCTCCATATAGCCATCTACTGGTAATTTACGAACGAGGTAGACATGAAGAAAAATATAATGAATTTTATATGGCATAGACCCACCGGGATGAGTGAGTATCACATCGAGAGTTAGCTAAGCGGAGACATACACACACGAAGAAAAGGAGAGAACATGATACATGTATATCATAGAACAACAGAAGTCGAAGAGAAAACGAAATTAGCAGGATCAAAAAACATGATGCGAGCCGAACAGAACAGTTGCTGAGGGATATAGAGGATATACTAATTAAGCAGGCATAAGATATGCGGCTGATGGAGATGAGTTGAGTTGTTCGCTGTCACGGACTTTAGTTATAATCGGTGATGTTTTTATTTCTTCCCGTAGGCACGGTCGATATCGTCCTGGAAGCGGTTGAGGATCTTCTTGCGCTGGAGCTTTTGAGCGGCGGTCATGAAGCCCTGTCATTAATTTAGTATACCAGTCCAAAGAAGCGAAGATATGTATTACTTACGTTCTGAGGGGTCCACTCCTCGTCGGAGAGGACAACACCGTTGATGATCTCAATACCCTTCAGACCACCGGCCTTACCAGCGGTTTGGAGCTGCTTGAGAACAATAGACTTCAGCTTCTCGTTGTGGACGAGAGACTCCAGAGAGTCGCCCTCAATACCGTTGTCGTTGGCCAACTTCTTCAGGGTGGCTTCGACAGGGACAATGATAGCAACGGGCTTGTCCTGATCTTGGGCGGCGTAGACGCAGATGTTGCCGACCACGGGGGAAGAGCGATAGATAGACTCGAGCTTCTCCAGAGCAATGTATTCACCGTTGAGAGTCTTGACGAGGTTCTTCTTGCGGTCGATGATCTTGAGATGGCCAAGGTGGTCGAACTCGCCGATGTCACCAGTCTTGAACCATCCATCATCGGTGTAGGCCTCCTTGGTCTCCTCCTCGTTCTGCCAGTAGTTGCTGCTGACACTGCCTCCGCGAATGTAGATTTCTCCCTGAGGGGGAGTGTTCTTCGTAAAGTAGCCGGCATCCGGGAAATCAACCAGCTTGACCTCGATAGAGGCGGGGATTTCACCGAGCGCGTCAGGGTTCCAGGCCATCGGGTCGTTCAGGGCACCCATGGCGGAGGTTTCGGTCAGACCGTAGCCGCTGATCATGGGGGCAACGGCCATGGACAGGAACTTTTGCGTGTCCTTGGAGACCGGGCCACCACCGTTCATCATGATCCGTAGCCGGCCACCAGTAGCTTCCTTGAGCTTGCGGAAGGCCACCGAGTCCAGGAACCAGGCTCCTGTGTCAGCGCCGGGGAATCCAGCAGTCATGAGGAAGTTCTTGGCAGACATGGCACCCCAGAAGATGCTCTTGATGAGGAAGTTGTTCTTGTTCAGGTTGTTGAGCACACCCTTCTTCACGGACTCCCACACAGCCGGAACACCGACCAGGATGGTGGGCTTGAATTCACGGATATCACCCTTGCAGTTGCGCATGGAAGCGTCAGACAAGGTGCGAGGGTTGCCGTAACCCATGGTACCACCCCAGAAAAGACAGAGGTTCTCGAACATGAATTCCAGAATGTGCGCTTGGGGGAGGTAGGTGAGGAGAGCATCCGAGGGACCGATGTAAGGGCCGACAATCTCGTGGATACCGGCAGCTAGGTAGGGAAGTTGGCGTTAGCGGCGAGTAGCCAAAGACATTCCGAATAACAACTTACTTGCGGCGATAACGTTCGCATGTGTCAGGGAGACACCCTTCGGGGGGCCGGTAGAACCAGAGGTGTACATGATACAGCAAAGGTCTTCAGGAGCCGGGGGGACGGGGTCCACGGGGTTCTCTTCACCCAGCTTCCGCAGCTCCTCGAGACTCATGACGTTCAGGTAGTCATAGTCGGACTTGAGGCGGTCCAGGTGTTCCTTCTTGGGCTCCTGGTCGGTGTTGTAGATGACGTGCTTGATGGACTTGACATCCTTCAGAACGTTGGCCACGGAGGGGATGAGAACGGGATCGCAGAAGATGGCGGCACTGGATGTCTGGACCAAAGAGTGCTTCAATCCCTCCTCACCCAGGGTATCATATGCGGTGACAATGGTCAGGGACTGAGATGCGGAACCTGTTCACAAGGATTGCGATTAGTTGCCGACCAATGAGCCAAGGTAGATGTTTGGGCACAAACCGTGTGACATGGCCAGCCAATGTGCACTGCGGAAAAAGAAAAAAGACGCAACGTCAGCATTCCGCATGTACTTCGGTAAAAGCTCAACTGCGGACTCACCTAGTTGCGCCGTAAAGGTGGATCTTATCGGGCTTCTCCAAACCGAGTTTTCGCAATCCACAGCCGAGCTCCAGGGCCAGCTTCTCGTATTCGACAAAGCTCTTGTAGCTGTAGCCGCTCATCTCGAAGTAGGTCCACTGCTTGTCGACCTCCTTCTCGACACCATCGACGATCTTCTTGACCTTCTTATTCTCGACATGGGTCTTGACCAAGTGACGAGTTCCAACGGCCTTCGCATTGCCGTAAACACGCGCGGAGCGGCGGAAGACATCGTAGGTGGTTCCGACATCCTCAGCCGGGCGAAGGATGAGGCCGTCCTTGGCGGCGGGCAGTCGACGAGGAATGGTCTCGCCCTCAACCGGCTCGTATCCAGGAGCCTCTACGGAGAACGGAGGCTTCTTGTACATGCGCGGTTGGATGCGAAGCTCCTGGAGCTCCTTCTTGGACATCGGCATCTTGGTGGGACAGAATTTCTAGATGGAGGGAACGGGGAAGACAAGATCTGTAGGGGACTTGGCCTGTCCAACACAGAATTGGGTGTGGTGGTCAGTCGATGTTGGGAGAATTTAGGTTCGGTCTGAACGAATACGGCAATGGAAAAAGCAACAGCACAGAGAGACGGGAATTAGAGGAAGAGGGACGGGGCGCAGAACTCAATAGACTTACGGGAGTGCAGAACCACACTGACGGACTGCAAACCGGGGGGGGGGGGATGAGATTGCAGGTGGAGCCGTAGCAAAACACAAGAAGCCTTCCAAAGCGGGCGATATTGCGGGGAGAAAATACGGGCGGTAGATGGTAAGGGACCCGGATGAAATGGGGGTAGAAAGGGGAGAGAAGAAGAGGGGGAAAATTAGGAAGGGAAGCTGGAGAAGAGGAGGAGGAGGAGGTAGTGGAGGAGGAGAAGTAGCGGCAGCACCAGAAGAGGAGAAGATGAAGCTGCAGATCGGAAATGAAGTCAGAGCGAGAGAGAGTATTTGTTGTGGCTGGACGGGAGGTCAAGGCGGTCCCCCAAGTTTAAGTTGCTTTCTCTGGCTCGTCCGCCACCTCCGGTTACAATGACGGATGGGTCAAAGTCCCTTTTTGCGATCCTCCTTCTTCCCCCTGCACATCGTGTTCCTTGGTTCTATTATATAGTCTGGTTTTACTGTTTCTATTCGACTGATTTCTCCGCTCTCGCAATGCGCTACAATGGTTGCGATCGTGACAACGCTCTCCCCTTGAGGCCACGACTACTGTACCAGTAGTACCTCCCCTACAACTACTACTAGGCTCATGCATCGTCTAGATCGGTCGGGAATCTGAATGCAACATCATAAAGTACTAGCCGCGGTCCAGCACAGCCGAGAGCTTCAAGGTTCTGACACACACGGGGAGAAGAGCAGGGGATCATGGGGTCAGACACAAACACAAACACAAACTATGGAGCTTGTCAAGCTGCCCCGACATGACAGCAGTACAGTAAGCAGACTAGATCACTACGTAGTTACCTATAGCCAAGGAGAGATATATGAACTAATTGAATCCACAATTCCAGAGATTCCCGCCCAGATGACGGCATAAGAAGCCTCTAGAGTCCAAGGGATTCGCAGTTCCTGATTCAAGAAAACCGATCGGAAAGTCTCGGTCGCGGGCTAAGCCCAGTTCCGCTTTTGTTGGGATTCCCACCGTCACTCTACTACTAGTAAATGAAGCACTCAGGCACCAGACATTCAGTCCAAAGACTATTGGCAATTAACTTTGTCATGACCACCTTCATCCACTTATGCATCAACCCCCTTATGCAGTCGCAGCATACCTGAAGAAACGTTTTTAAGGATCTCTGCGGTGTGACTGTGAGACCCCCTTCCCGTCAACCAATCAGAATGCCGGCCATTACAATGCTGGAAAACTTCCCGTCCGTCAGAACCACCGCAAATTCAGTATCATCGCCAATATTTTCCATCCATTGCAAGCCCTTGTTGCAGTCAAAACTTCAATTCTCTCCGTTTCACACGCTGGTTGATCTCCGTTGTACAACGCCCGCCACTACAGATGAAATCTTCCGATTGACAGACTACTGACCAGGACAACCAATATCAGAAGCAAACAGGCCTACCCTAAGTGGGAACTGAAACACATACCCTCTGTATACCTAGTAGACACTAGACAGACAGACAGACAGACATCTTATACCAAGAAACCATGGATTCACTCACAAACTTCCTCACCACCATCGGCGAAGAAGTCGAAGACGCAGAAGAGGGTATGTTCCCATGCTCGATTGCAATCTCATAAGCGTGTATACCTATATAAGCCACTATAAACCCCCGTATACCAACACATAATAACCATTGAAACCAAAAACCATTTTCAAACAATAGAATCCTTCCTCCTCTTCTCCCAAGACATCCCCTCCGCCAATCTAGGGTTTGTCGATTCCCGCGCCACAACCATCGACTTGACCATCCACGACCAAGACTATACCATTCATCAATCTCCGACTCTGCTATCATCTTCCAGAGCAGGCGGTACAACCGGTGCAGGTATGCCTTTACCATAACCCTACCTCATCATTCATCATCATCATCATCATCATCATCACAATAATGCCCTGAAAAAAACCAACCAATTGCCCAATCTAATCTAATATGATATGATATACAACAGTCCTCTGGAAAATCACCCCCCTCATCGCAGAATGGCTCTCCAACAACACCGCCACTACCAAGGATACTAAAGATGTCAACCCCCTCTGGACACACAACATCCTAACCCCCACCTCCACCATCGTCGAACTAGGCAGCGGCATCTCCGCCCTCCTAGCCCTATCCCTCTCACCAAAAATATCCCACTACATCGCCACAGACCAGGAATACGTGCAAAGATTATTCCGCCAAAATCTGGATGAGAATGCCAGCACCATCACTACTTCTACCTCTACCGGTGGAGGTAGTAGTAAATCTTCCAAGGCGGGGAAGAAGTCCAGCAAAACGTCAGCGGCAGCTCGGAAATCCCACCAGGGACATGCGACTGGAATTGGAAACGGGAATGTGATCTTCACATCCCTAGATTGGGAATTGGATGTTGCGGGATCGCTGAAGGAGGGGTTGGGGCTGTGCACTACCGTGGATGATAGTGGAGAAGAAGAAGAAGATAAGGGCTTCGACGTGGTGGTGTCATGCGACTGTATCTACAACGATGCGTTGGTTGCGCCGTTTGTGCGCACGTGTGCGGATTTGTGTCGCTTGAGGCCGGTGTATATTCCCCCTGGTGGTGGTGGTGGTTCTAGTGGAACAGGGAGGGGGAGGAGGACGCCGACGGTGTGTGTGATTGCGCAGCAGCAGCGGTCGCCGGAGGTGTTTGAGGCGTGGTTACGGGAGACGTTGAGGGTATTTCGGGTGTGGAGGGTGAGTGATGAGATGTTGGGGGAGAAGTTGATGTCTGGGAGTGGGTATTTGGTGCATGTTTTGGTTTTGAGGTAAATCTAGACTGGAAATGGGACTGAGTGATATGTCTTTGATTGACTATGGACATGGCCTGAGCTGTGGAACTTCTTTGAAACGAGACTCATGTCTCTCAATTGCATCGTTCCGGCCAGAAGCTGAACAGCTATGCATGTATAAACATCCCGAAGCAGTATGGACATTCTTGTGGGAAGCAAGAGCAAGAAAATAAACAGACACAATAACTGTGCACCCGGCGTTCAAGAGATCATCTTTGACTGGGGATTATAAAGGGTATAGAATGTATGTACTAGTGATTGGAGGCATAGGGATGGATGGGCATGTGTAGAAGAGAAAATCCCCATCAATCCAAGCATACATGGAAAGAGGGTCAATCATTGCGACAAGAGTAAGACATTACATTATTAATGAACGTGCACAAGGCCTCCCACAAATAGAAAAAGAGGGTATTGACGCAAGAGCTGCATATGAACAGAATCAGAAAAGCATGCTCGGACTATGCAAGGTGATAAAAACGCAAGTTTTTGCCTGGTCACAGGCCAACGCAATGAAAATAACCAGTAATTATGATGTATTTGTATATATTACTTTGCCTCGGTTGTGTCTTTAGGGTCAGTATTCTCTTTCTCGGTCTCATGTGGCCGTGGGAACTCGGCCTCGTCCTTGATCGAGGGCTTTTGATCCGGGGACGCCTGGATTGGTGCCTCAGCCGGCCGAGGCGGGATTGAGCTTAGTCGCCCCCGGGGTTCATCCTCCGGGTCGCGATCGATAATGGACGAGATGGATTGCTTAGTTGAGCCGTTCATTCTCGGCACTGGTATTTGCTCCGGCGCCGGAGGCATGGTCGCCGGCGGCGCAGGCAGTGTCCTATCTGAGGCCTCCGTTTTCACAGGGACCTCCCGACTCTCCTCCTCATCTGAGGCAGAAGAATATTCCATCTCCTGCTGATATCCCTCGCCATCCGCAGGACCCGATTCCAGGCGACTTTCTTCAGTAGATGCCCGGTTCACGGTAGCCACGGGTGGCAGCGGAGCGTTAGGATCAAACACTATACCGCACACCTCAAGCGCCCGGGACTGACTGCCCAGGCTACGATCCTTGTGCTTTTTGGTCAAATGGCACATGAAGCCATGCAAGGTCACGAAGTCGGCCTTGCCGCAGCCCGTAACAGGGCATGTGAGATACACCAAGCTGCCATCCGACGGCCGCTTCCAGAGCGCCCGTCCAGAAGGGTCATGCGCGGCCGGACGTCCATGACGCTCCCCCCAAGCTTCAACGTTCTTTATGGTATATTTTTGTTTCCGTCTGATTGACGTGGCACCGGTAGGATCATGGTGAATGTGTTGCGGTGGAGGATGGGGCGGTGCCGCTTGTGCTGGCGGGGGAATTGGACGAGGCTCCGGAGGGCTCTGTTGCTTGAAGAATGCAAGGGTGGTCGCTGCATTGGTTTCCGATAATCGGCGAGGCGGCGTTGGTCGAAGCGGCGGAGAGTCCAGGCTTGCATTAAATCCCAGTCCCATTGACTCCCGCTTAATTCGTTTCCGTTGCCTACGCAGTTCCTGATTTGTAGGCAAAAGGATTCATGTCAGAGTTGAAACGGTGGGGAAATTTTATATCACAACCTAATAACCATACCTCTTCTTCTGCTTCCGCATTTTCAGTCATCCTACGAAACTCCTCGTCCTCTCGCTTCCGGATGGCGAGAAGATGACTACGGGCCGCCATGCGAGCCGCCTCTTCATGTTCCAGTTGCCTGAGGCGAGCCTCAATATGATCTATCTGAAATGGTTGACCCGGCGGACCAGGTGCAGGCGGACCCTGTTCCTGCAGTGGAGGGGGGTGAAAAGGACGAAATTGATGATGGGCAGGCATCATATGTTCTGGCGGGATTGGTTGCGGCGGATTCATTGCGATTGGGTGGAAACGGGGGAGGCTCATAGTGTTGACATGATGTCCGGGGGCACCTCCGTTCATGCCATTCTCGTGCACGGGTGCTACAGGAGGTGCTGCAACTGTCATGGTAGAGAGGACTGAAGAAGAGAAATCCAGTCAGAGAATTAGTTGATCCAATCTACCGCTTTTGAGTTCTGGCATGCACATGGAAACTTTGTTGGAGAGTGCAGATGATATGACTCGGAGGGAGGGGGGGAGGGGATGGAGCGGAAGAAAAAGCAGCAGGAAATGGAGATCTGAGGAATGGCTGAATAAGAGGAAAGAGGGAGAGAGGGAGAAAGAGAGGAGCGAAGGAGTACAAGTGTGTAAGGCAGGGTGAGAAAGGGAAATGCGAGAGGGAGTCGAAGGAGAGAGGACAAAAGAAGGAAGAAGTTTATGACTGGATGATAAGAAGAGGATACAATGGGCTAGTTGGCAGAGGGAGGAAGAGGCCAAGGCTTCGTGGAGAAGGGACCAGAATGCGTGGCAGATGTAGAGTTTGGGGTATTGACGAGAGCAAGTAGCAAAAGAGAAAGAGAGGGACTTACATTTGCAGCAAATAATCAGAAGAATAGAATGTCAAACGCAGCCAAGGACTACTTCCACCAAGCAGAGAAGAAAAAGAGGCCGCTAGTGCGATGCACCTTGCCCGTTTTTTTGTTTTCTCTCACCAGGAAATTTCCCGCGGTTTTTCCCTCAAATGTTCGGTTGAGATGGTTGTCAACCCACTAGAGTTGAGGGACAAATGCAGAGTGGTAAACGGCTAAGCAAGGGACCCAATGGATTGAAGGAGGAAAGCAGGCAAGACTGTCACAGTTGGTGCCTGTTGTTGAGAAGCGCGCGCGCAAAAGAGATAGTTCTAGCGGGCAGCGATCCTAATGGAAGGTTTGCATGAAAGTTTAAACCAAGGGGGGAAAAAATGGGAAAAGAAAAAAGAAGAGTAAGTGTAAATAGAGTAAAAGGGAAAGGGAAAAGAAAAAGGAAAAACAAATAATAATTTTAAAAAGGAAAGCAAGAGAAGGGGAGAGGGAGAGAGAGAGAGAGAAAGCAGAAGGAATACTAATCACAGAAGAGCGAGCGAGGGCGAGAGCAAGATTGGAACAATACTGGTCAAGGTAATTAAACAAGATCGAATGGGACAGCTCTAGACAACCACTAGAGGTACGCTAGCAGCTAATAAAACTAGTCAGTAGATAGTAAGTAGTGATTTTACGGTCAGTTGGACCTTGGAAACAAACAAGTCCATGGATAAAGTCTGGGACCTGCAACAGCACTAGTGAGCTCCAGTGTCAGATGTAGTAATAATTGACAATAATGCCCTTAGTACGATGTGGTACAGACTGCACTGCACAACTTGTCTGGTTCATTGCCCGTTTCTGCAACTTGAATGGAATTCCGACTTGTGGGATGGCCGATTCAGATCCATTTTCTTTTCTGTTTTACTATCATAACTTCAACAATCTCATTTCATTCCATTTCTTTTCTTTTCTTTTTTTATTGATTTATTCATTCGTTAATTTTTCTATCTTAAACTAAATTAACTTCCTACTCGAGATAAATAGATAGATCGATCTCAGATTAGTAGTACCAAAAGTAGGCCCGGTGGTGGTAGTGGTCTTCGCGCCATCCCTGAAAATGAACCATGAGCATCATTGTAATTACTCCCTCACTTTCTACCCTCACTGGACTGATTATTCTGTGCCAAAATCCTTCAGTCTCCCCCGAAAATCATGCCTCTGTGTTGTACACTAGTCTGCCCCTCCGATAGAAATCCACTACTGTCACACTAGTGACAAACACAAACCAACCCAAGTAATCTATATTAAATTCTATTATTTATCGGATGCCCCCCCCCCGGGTCTATCTGGGATCTGAGATGTGTACTTTTTAGTAGTGTTATTCTGCCGGAGCAGAAGCAAAAACTATCGGTTTAGACCAGGGTCGATATGTACCATGACCATAAAGGTAATGCGCCAACATATTAACTTTGACCTGATCTCAACAATTGATAAAGAAACCTGGATGATTGCATATATTGTAGAAGTATTTTTTTTCTCTACTAGGAATTTGTCGAGTTAATGTACCAAAAGCATTCTGTGGCCTTTTTGTGTCATCGGTCCAAGAAACAGTCGTAAAATAATTTTTTTTCCTCATCCCCTTTTAGTCCCCTTCGTTCACTTCATCCAGTTTTGTCTGGCTGGAGTAGGTAATGTTTATTTTTAGCTACTAAAGGGAGTGACCAATGAGGACCGGCTGATCTACTACTTGTTTGTAACACAATTTAATGAGAAGGAAAGTAGAAGATCATGGAAGATCGGGGGTTTTGTGCTCATGGCCAGAGTGGATTGATTACAAGGGTATTACAGCGTGTCAATGTTATCAAATTTTCTACTATTTTCGCACTGAGAAAAGCCAAAGTTCCCCAACCAGCTACGTAGACAAATAGACAGGGGGGAAGTTAATTGGAAAGAGCAATGAGAATGGTGGGAAAAAAGAAATAGGTCCCCGCCCTGAATACGGGAGAAACTGAAGGCGAGAGGAGGACACGGGTTGGGAAAGGGCAAAGATTGGTTCGCTGGGTTGAGTGTTCCAAGGGGCAAATGTGAAGGAAAGTGGGAAGATACCCGCCTTTCCACTGGTAAAAATGACACACACACATACACAACCCAGCTAACTAACTAACTGTGGATTCCTGTGGGATTGGATCCATGAGGGCCAGCCAGGGCAGTTCAAGTCCTTCATCCACACTACCACAGTAGTAGTAGTAGCAACAAATACTAATAAATAATGATAAATACTAATTATAATCAAAGTAATAAAATTCATAATTATAACAACAATAAATAATCAACCGAGCGGGGCATCCCTCTCATCCTTCCACCCTCCCTCCCTCTCCCCCCCCGAAAAAACACCACTGACTGGATCATTCCTGGAACAAGGTACAATATTAGACAAGACGGTGATCGACAAATGATGGAAGGGGAGATTTTTTGCAGCCAGGCGCAATTTATCCAGTCTGAATGAAAAGACTCGTTCCAAGTGGTTCTCAGATTAGGCTGGACGTGAGGAGTGCCCGTTTGGTCCAAGTCAGGGCAGAAAAATGGGGCGTTCCAGCAAAAGAGATCCAGGCTTTTTGGCCTTTTGGTACCAGCCGAAACACAAGCAGAAAATAACAGCTCTCATCAGGTTGTTTTTGCCAGAATCATCTGTGACACAGATTGATTCATTAGTCACAAGTTATCCTGGAGGAGAGGAATGACCCCGTAGGAATCCACCCTCAAAGGTCTGTCAGATTATTGGAGAGCGTTGTTACCGGCCATGTCAGACCACAACTAGATAGTACTACTGCCAGGATCGTCATCTTCTCTT